TGTTCCAAGCTATTGCGATGAGTATTTCCATCACCAACTTGTTTCTGGGTGAAAAGAGTGTCAACGGCCTCATCGCTCAGTCCGAAAGCTTGAAAACGTCAGACCATGAAGACACAATGCTAGTCCAAATTCTAACCTTGCCACTTGGACGTCTTCGCTCTATTCTCACTCGCCACTCTGGCAGCTTCGGTGCCTTTGATATTACACTCACGCGTGAGAGAGATGGCTGGATATGGACGGAGACGGCTGGAGTAGTCGCTTGTCTTGATCGCGTCTGCATTATCTTCACATAGGTCCGCCTGAAAAGCAAATTCAGCCAGAAGCTTTAGAGAGTGTTTCGTGATAAACATACCCGCTGAATCATCTTCAATTGGTGTTCCTTCAAAGTGTTCGGAGACATTGAGGGCAAAGCCTCGTCCTCAGACTCATCCTCCTCGCTCTTTACGTGGCGACGAGGTCCACGCCCCATGATAGGTTCCAAAGCCTGTCAAAGGGATCTTAGGGTAGCTAAATGAGAGGTAATCAGGTAGATAAACGTGCTGCCGGAGGTCTGCTGGAAGGATCACGTAGCGAAAAGGAAAATATCCCGACTAATCAGCAAAACAAATTCCACACGGCTTGACCAGGGATTCTCTCAAATGAGGTCCCGGACGCTGGGGTGTAAGAGAGCTGCGGGTTGCTAAAAAGGACCCAGCACAGGATGAAGGTCTGGATGGACAATCGAGAGGAGGATGGAAAAGAGGAAGACAAGGGGTCGGCAAGAGAGGAGAAGAAGGCGAGAGCGGTCACAATTTCAAGGTGAATTTGAAAGAAGAACGGGTGAGGCGTTTGGCGAGAATTGATCGATTCCAAGAGATTCCGGAACACTGGATGAGGGGGGAAACGAGGGGAAAAGCACAGAGCTGCGTGGTGTTGTCAGGGAGGAATGATGTCGACTGGAGAGGGCGCAGGAGTTGTCACGGAGGAGGCCCACGCGGCGGCAGCGATGTATAGGGAACAACCGACGACCGCCACAACCACAGTCGATGTCAGACACTGAAAGACGCCTTGAGACAACTACCAAGAGAGTATAAGACAACGTCGGCTGTTGTAGTAGCCAGAGAGGCAAAGGAGAGCTGGAGATAAGGATGTGCATGTGCATGTGCATGGCGAGCAGACGAGTGTGGAGTTGAGACGAGACAAGCATCTTTCCTTCGCCTGCTTGCGTCCCTCATGAAAGAAGGCTCTTTGCACCTGTCGGGACAATCCATCGACAAGATTCTGTAGACGGAGTTAGATGGAGCATGGAGTGGTGATCTGCTCCCGATTGCAACGTGAACTTCAACAGCTCCCTTCCTGGCGAAGCAAGTCAAGATGCACGAGAGCATCATCGTCAATCACCAACTGTTGATCCATCTCAGAGCACCTCATACCGAGCATACCAAGGTCTTCTGATCAGTGCTGTGGTATCCAAGGACACCTCCATCACGACGTATTGTCCAATTCCATCAGGCAGGATCTTTCCAAGGCACACGATCTGCTTTTTGTCTAAGTTTCTTACTCTTCAAAGAAGCTGCGACGCATCACTTCAGCCCCAGATCAAATTCTTGAATCGGCAACCAGTTCTGCCAAACAGACAATGGAAGAGAGACGCTGGATTTGACAATATCGAGAATAAATGGTGTTGAGAAAAGTTTGTAGAGGACAGGAAGTTGGCAAGCCTTACGCCAGACATCGACCAGGGGTTCAAGCCACCAAGGCCTTTTGGTCCATTGGAGAGCAGTGTGGAGTGGCTGGCTCTGATAGATCCGAGCTCCCCCGACCATTTTTAGTAACTGGTCAGCCTCATTAATGACGAAGGAGCCGGGATCCGGTCAGCATTTGGACTGGTCGCCCGCCAAACGAGATACGACTCCCGTCCGGAGACCATACGGAGTACGGAGCGCATATCAAGTGACATACCTCCAGGTCATCCATGGTACGGAATATTGAGTCTAGGCCATTATTCTCTGTCTACCCAGTACCTGGGCATTTTCAGCCTGCAGAGCGGCTGTATGTTCTACCGGCTCTCAGGGAACACCCGTTCGAGATGGACCCGGCGACTTTTGCCGGTGACAGAGTTCTGACGAGGTTATCGTATGTATGGCTTGAGCAGGAGTAGCGAGAACGAGTCGGCATGTCCTCTACACCTGTCGTGTGGCCATCGTCGGCACCATATGCCGTTGTTTGCGAGTGACAAGTGATACACCGCTCTCACACCAGCCCGCCAAAAAGGCAGGTTTACCGAAACACGCATGGTACTTTGCCGCGGGTGGGAATCGTTAGTACTAATAGCCAGTGTTGAGAACTCCACTTGGCTCTAAATCGGTCAAGAGGCATCAATGCGGAGACCGAAGCTGCAAGCTGCCTGCTCTCAACGCTCTAGGAGACCCGAGCCAACGCCCCCAAACCCCCGCTCCAGGACCCAACCTAGCGGCCATTGACAGCCACCGGAAGCCATTGGCCGCCCTAGCGAAGCCTCTCCATTGCATGCAAATGATGGATGAGATAGAGCCAGTCCGGGAGCACCAGAGCTGTGCTTCATAAGGGCAACATCATCTCCCCCGGAGGCAGCTCCATCTCATTCCTGCTTCTGTTCCCTTTGGCCTCCCTTCGCACACCGACAAATCCCGCTGTCGCTTGCATATCACCAAAACCCCAAACCGTGACCGCCATTTCAACTCCCGTTTCACCAATACTTTGTACAGGTGCCCCCTCCCCAAACATCATTCCACCATTCCAACCCTGCATATGAACCCCCCGCAAGACTACATCGATCACAACATCTTCCACACGATTCATTAACCTCGCGACCCTCCGGCATCTCTACCTTTCTACTCTATAGTCCTCAATTGTATCAGCCATCATGGCCGCTCCTCGAGCATCCTCCTTCAAAGCCCTGCGCAACCTCCAGCGCACCTCTGGGTCGACACCGGCTAAACGAAGCCTGCATATTACTGGTGTCCATGCCTCTCCGAGACCCATCGACCCCAATCATAAGAGCACCTACATGCCATGGACTCTGCAGGACCTCCGTCAAGAGTGCCAGAAGCGCACACTTTCAGCTTCCGGCACCAAGCACGAGCTGATTGACCGACTGGCGGGCCATGACAGTTTGCAAGCAAGAGCCTTTTCCATTGCGATGAAACGGATTGCCGTCGAGCAAACAAAGAAGCCTGTCTCAGGGTATGTTGTCATCCCTTTTTTTTTTTTGCGAGGTCTGAAACTGACCGCATCATCAGTCCCTCTGAAAGCGCACCCCAGCGACACTTCAACACCTCTCGCTCCCTCAAGGCGGTGGGCGACACGTCCACCATTGACTTTGCTTACCTCCCCAAGCTACATGAAGAGTCGTGGGGAATCAGTCCTCCCTCCATCCGCGTTCCTATTCTGCCTTACATCCAATCCGACCAAGCCGAAGCAGTCTTGGAGAGACACCCGGAGCTGGATGCAGCGGCTGGAGGCTATCAAGATACCCGTGGCCAGGAGACGATTATGAAGCCACAGATTTTCACTGTGGGAGACGTCGCGGGCGGCCCTGCAAGTGCCATGAGCGATGTACACGATGGCCACCATCCGACCGAATTGTCAGTCGAGATGCTCACAGCTCTGACGGAGACGGTGGGCAAGAGTGCGCGCCAATTCGTGGATATGGTCAAAGACAAGGATGAGGCGACGATCCGCAAGATCTGGACAGGATTCCTCGATGATCTCTTTGGGCAGCCGGGCAAGGGGGCCAAGCCATAACTGAGACTGCGTGCCGAAGCTGTGGCATTGGCGTTGCAACTGTCATGACAGCGTTGTAGCACGAGCGGCCTGTTTTTTCTTGTGACCTATACCGAGAACCACGTAAATCCTACGTTGGTCTAGGTTGACGACGTATATTTGCCTTTTAATCAAGCGCCCAGCGCACCTTTCCGTGTGTCGTGTGTCTTGTGTTTGTCGTTTTGATGAGGGACTCGATGGCCGATGTTAGTTGCCAGTCCGGTGGTGACAGTACTGGGTACCTGTGGACGAGTGTTTCTTGTTTCTGATGCGACTCCACATAATTGCTAGAGTAGATGATGATACCCGCTGTTCGACTCCACAAAACCTCCACTCTGCCACCTCTCAGCTTCCGGCCATTCCATTCTGTTGCCCCCCCTCAAGCTCAAGCCCCCTTTCGCAGACGCTCGAACTCCTCTTTCTCCCTGCTTAGCCCGTGCCAAATAGACCTCGCGAACTCGTCCAGTCACTGATGTATCTAAGGATGTCTTCACCATTCCCTTGTGGCAAGAGATCTGATCTAGAGACTGGATCTCAATACACCCCGCTCCCTGTCAACTGTTCTTCAGCGCCTACACACAACATTTGACCATAAGGGCAACCTGGGGTGAGTCACCCTCCAGCCACAAAGGGGTTGGGTCCGAGCCGCAGCCATGACCGACGCCAGAAGGCCCTGCGTCCGTTTCGGGGCGCATTCTTAGGGACCAATCGAGTGAGCACGTAAAAGATCGTCAGGTACGCGAACTGCTTTCGCTGCTCCATTTGGCCCTCTACCCCCTGGATCACGACCCGCTTCCAGATGCACTGATGCACTTGATGCACTTGGCATGGCGACGCTGTGGCTTCAGACTCCAGAGGTATGTGGTGCGAGCCAACCTCTTGGAAGAACTTCAAAAAGTGATATGCTGTTCACGACTCTGCTTACACCAGTTCTTGCATTGCAATTCACTACCTACCTAGGGTATTGCCGCTGTACTTTTATCCAGAGCCGTATTTTGGGATCTCTTGATTGAGAATCCCTTGAGCTCTGTCTTTGGCTCTTACTGCATTGTCTATTGCACTCTTCCATATCCTTTGAACTTGGGCAGGATACCAAATCGAGTACACGCCTTGCTGCAATACACTTAATCTGGACAGGCTCCCGTGGATTTAAGCCAAAAGAAAACTCGATAAACGCAAATGGAGTGATTTTGTATTTTGCAAGAACGCAGACAACCATGCATCGTCGTTGGTTATCATTGCCTTTGCTCTCTAGCTGTGTTTCTGCATTCTATCCCTACCATGCTGGCGATGAAGGAAATGAGAACAGCAAGAGATTCATCCCGTTGGATCTTGAGCCCCCGCGTGCGGATGACTCGGGTGTGGTGGCCATCGACATCAAGAAGGCAATAGTGAGTCCGAGGCTTCGTTGAGACTGACTTCGAGACTCTAATCCACCTCGCAGATGAAAAGGAATAATATGTTCCCGGTTGTGAACTCCTCCGCCCCCAATGTCCCTAACGCCATGGCGATTAACGAAGACGGCGACGACTATACCTACTTCTCCACGGTGAAATTTGGTTCCAAGGGTCAAGAGATGTACATGTTGATCGACAGCGGGTCAGCCAATACCTGGGTCATGGGCTCAAATTGCAAATCCAATGCCTGTCAAATACACAATACGTACGGCAGTGAAGACTCGAGCACAATCCAGACGACCACTCAAGCTTGGAGTATGACTTATGGCACAGGGGAAGTTGAGGGAGTGGTAGTCAAAGACACGGTGCATTTGGCGAACTACACCATTGAGATGGGTTTCGGCCTCGCCTCCTCAGCGTCAGATGATTTCAACAATTATCCTATGGACGGCATCTTGGGGCTCGGACGACCCGCCTCGGACGCGCTGGGCACGCCGACTGTCATGCAGGTGTTAAAGGACAAAGCCCATTTGTCCGCAAATATTTTGGGAATCCACCTACAGCGAAGCTCTGACGGGACCAAAGATGGCCAGATTACGTTTGGCGGGATTGACTCCTCCAAATTCAACGGCAAACTGTCATACACCAAAACAATCAACGACAACAGCTGGCAATTGCTGCGAGCGACGCAGGCGTGGACAGCAAATCAGTCGGCTTCCAGTCAAAAACCGCCATCATCGACACGGGGACATCATACATCTTGATGCCTCCCTCTGACGCAGACGCTCTGCACCAGCTGATCCCTGGCAGTTCTCAAAACGGAGAAATCTACACGGTACCTTGTTCCTCTTCGGCCAATGTTTATTTCACGATCTCCGGTGTGAAGTACTCGGTTTCTCCTCAGGACTACATTGGCAAGCAAAGCGGCAGTAGTGGGAGCTGCCAGAGTAACATTATCGGGCACCAGGCATTTGGGCCGGACGACTGGATTTTGGGTGACGTATTTCTCAAAAACGTTTACACGGTCTTGGACTTTGACAATGCGAAAATTGGATTTGGCACGAAATCTGGAGTGGCTCCGGGCGGTGACAACACTGTGACCACCTCCGCCTTGATGTCGTCCGCAACAAGCAGTCCTATATCGAGCATGTCACCCGCACCGACCACCAGCTCTAGCACAGCTTCCAGACCGCAAACGACAATGTCGACATCCACGACATCAAAACCAAACGCCTCATCCACTGGCGCCGCTGCCACGTCGACGTCCACGGGAGCAGGCGACAGCAGCCCCTTTGGAGAGTCGAGCGACTCGAATTCATCCTCCTCCTCGGCAGAGGTCGTCGCGAGGCCCAGCCTTCTCCTGCCGCTAATGGCAATCGCATTCTTGGTGGGACTTATTTTGTAATCAGATTATTTTGTTAGTCAATGCCGTCGTCCTTCGAGTGACGGACACGGACGGTCACAGGCCACGAAAAGAAAGGAAGCAAAGGCGAAAAAGCAGGAACCCCTTTGCACATCCAGGAAAAACTCGGCATCCAGAGCATTATTCATTGTATATACAGCGCTTTAGTTATTGTTTAGTGTTTAGAACTTGACCCGGAGCTTGCGGCACCAGTCCTCCTACTACGTATTATCACTAAAGAGAAATCCCAATGTTGATTTTTTGCACCGACTTCGAATGCGTGGTCCACATGAAAGGTCTCACTCATGAGTTGTGCCTGCGATCGTGCACAAGTGGAGAATAAGCACGTTCGAGTAGAATATTGCCTTAACGTCTATGCTCCACGGGGATGTTACACAATAGGTAGGAGCGACAGCAAGGCTACATCTGGCTCCAAGACCATTGTGTCTTTCATATAGCTTACGCGAGCCGTTTTGAATGGGCAAAAGGGGCACAATCAAAGAAGCCCCGTCTCTCAGTGTGTTGTTCCCAGCTCAAGCAGTCGACCAGCCTTTATCGACCTTCAACTCGGCGCCATTCAGCCCGGGCGCGCTGGCTAAAAACAGAATGGCCCTCGCCATGTCCCCCGGCTCGCAGTTTCCCACCGACGTCGCCATGGTCGGCATCACCGTATCAAATCCTACCTTGTTGGGGATGGATTTGCTGTTCTTCATGATATCCGTGCTCACGCCGCCGGGGAACAGGATGTTGCACTGAATGCCCTCCTTGGCGTACATCCAGGCCGTGTTGCGCGAGAGGCCGAGCAAGGCGTGCTTGGAGGTCGTGTAGGCGACGCCGGCGGTGCCGCCCTTGATTGAAGCCAGAGAACCGACGTTGACTATGCGGCCCTTCTGTTCGGTCGTCTTGGTCATGAAGTGGTTGATGCAGGCGCGCATCGTGTTCAAAGGGCCGTTGAGGTTGATGTTCATGACACGGTTCCACATTTCCTTTGACACGTCACCGACCCGCTCTGAGCATGGAGGATAAGGATGTTAGTTTTGTCGGGAACCTCCTGCTAGTGGAGGCCACCTTTCTTACCAAACTGATCCATGACCCCGGCGACGTTGACAAGGGCGTCGATGGTGGACCACTTATCCAGAACTTGCTTGATTGCTGCATTCACGGACTCCTCTGACGAGACGTCGCATTTGATATTGAGCCGTTGGGCGTCAGTTGATGGTGGAGCGTCGACAATGTCCAGTGCTGCAAGTTTGGCGCCTTGTTCGAGAAACAGTTGAGCCGTCGCTGCGCCGATTCCATTGCAGGCTCCTGTCAGCACGATAACCTGGTTGGATCAAGAGAGGATCAGAATACATGAGGCATTGATATATCTCTTGGAAAGGGAGGGGTGAGATCTTTCTTTTCTTTTCTTTTCTTGGGGAAGTTGAATGGTTGGCTTACCTTATCCTTGAAGTTCGCCATCGCAAAAGATTAGTCCTGGATATTACGACAAAAGGAGCGGGCCCGGGACCACTGTTTATAAAGAATCAAAGTTTCCTCCTGATGCAGATACGAACCTACACTTAGGTTGAGACAACCTCGTCTTTTGCATCTTGGCAGATCCTCATATCGTGTCCTTTACCTCTTCCCACCAAGAGTACGCAGGGTAAGCAGACCACTAAGTCGCTGCGGATCCGAATGCAGAGAGAATCTCCAGTTCCGAATGGCGTGAGATCATCTCAGGCCCTTCATTTGGAGTCGGAAATGACCCCCAACCCTTGGTCAATGTGGGGTCATTTGCATAAAAGTTATGAAGAGCGAAGGAGCGCCGCGTATGCCTTGACTCTTCCAATTTTCGGTAAGACTTGGATGATTGGCGGTGTAGCGAGAGCCTGATGGCTGTCGGTGCCTGACGAGTGATAACAAGGTACTCCATATTTCAGAAACTGGTCCTAGTCCGCGACCAAGGCATTGAGTTTCTCAAGGCCCAGCTGGCAATGGGCAAGGCTGACGCTAACTTGTCAGCGTTAGTCATTGTTGTAGCCTCGTGGGGTCACGGCAGACGTGTTGCAAGGTCTGCTCCCAAGAATGCCGCTCAAACTGTTTTGAACTTAGAACGGAGGATGTTGTGAACGCGAGTAGAGCCGTCTACTTCCCGCTTCTCTTCGGGGAGCACGAGCAGAAAGGGCTGAAGCGATCACAAAAGCTTTAGGGGAAACGGCGTGATCTCGTTCAAGTGCTCGCCCGTAATTCAATAGATCGGTGCACGGAGGTTTTGCGTGGACAGCACGTGCTGAGGCTGCGAGACGCCTCGACCTGCAAGGTGCATATGCCTCGTAACATTGAAGATGACAACTCGTCCTCTTCCTCTTCCACCCACTACTCGGTAACATTCTTTTCCTGTGGCCGTGAGGCGAGATGAAATTCGTGCGAGATGCCAGCAGATGACGAAGATTCGAATGGATCTGTCAAAGATATCGCCAACGGCAAGATCGAGGGCTACACACACCTCGCATCTCCAGAGCCTACGCCAACCCTGACTGCAGACTCCCCGACTGGCTCTGTCAGTAATGACAATCGACCCCCTTCGCTGAGACAGTCTTCTCTCTCACATCCTCGCCCTGATGGCACCCCCCGAACGACGAACCGAGTACGGTTCGACATCGACGAGCCGTCGACCACCCGAGATCCAGAGGAATGGGTCGACGACGAGGATTACCTCACTTCTCCGAGCCAGCATGCTCCCCTGTTGACCGATATCACTCCTCCTGCGCAGTCCCCCTTTCTCTCCGAATCCTTCCAGCCAGAGGACCATTTGCCCGACGCAAGGCCCAAGAGTGGGATGCGCAGTGCGTTTATGAACATGGCCAACTCGATTATTGGGGCTGGCATTATTGGTCAACCGTATGCTTTCCGGCAAGCTGGTATGACCATGGGTATCATACTGCTTGTTATTCTGACAGTCACCGTGGACTGGACGATTCGCTTGATCGTCATCAACAGCAAACTGTCTGGAGCAGACTCCTTTCAGGCGACTATGCAACATTGCTTTGGGTCCAGTGGGTTAGTTGCCATTTCGGTCGCACAGTGGGCGTTCGCATTTGGCGGGATGATTGCGTTTTGTATAATTGTCGGAGATACTATCCCACACGTCATCGAAGCATTGATCCCCGGATTGAGGGACGTCCCTTTTCTATGGCTTCTGACCGATCGAAGAGCTGTCATTGTCCTTTTCATACTGGGTATCAGCTGGCCATTGAGTCTCTACAGGGATATCGCAAAGGTGTGCACCTCTCAATGCAAGGATGAGGCCCGCGCTAACTGCAGCAGCTCGCAAAAGCCTCTACATTGGCGTTGATCAGCATGCTGATCATCATTGTGACAGTCGTCACTCAGGGAGCAGTTGTCGATTCAGACCTGCGAGGTAATCTGAGAGGACTGCTCTTTGTCAATGATGGATTCTTTCAGGCCGTTGGGGTGATATCTTTCGGTACGGCTCGTCTACTTGTGATTAGCACAAACTAACTTGTTTAGCTTTCGTCTGCCATCACAACTCCTTGTTGATCTACGGCTCTCTCAAAACACCCACTTTAGACCGATTTTCGACTGTCACCCATTACAGTACCTTTATCTCCCTGGTTGCCTGCCTTGTCTTGGCTTTGGCAGGTTTCCTCACATTCGGCGACAAGACCAAGGGCAATGTATTGAACAATTTCCCGTCGCAGGGACATGTGCTGGTCCAGATCGCTCGATTATGCTTTGGGCTCAACATGCTCACCACCCTTCCTCTTGAGTGTTTTGTCTGCAGAGAAGTGATGAACAATTACTGGTTCCCCGAGGAACCTTACCAGCCCAACCGACATTTGATCTTCAGCAGTGCCCTGGTGGTTAGCGCGATGTCGATCAGCTTGATCACATGCGACCTCGGAGCTGTTTTCGAACTGATTGGGGCAACCAGCGCTTGTGCACTGGCATATATTTTACCGCCGTTGTGTTATATCAAGCTCAGTACTAGAAGCTGGAAGACAATTCCAGCAGTGGCATGTATTGTATTTGGATTTGCTGTCATGACTGTGAGTCTGGTGCTGGCCATGAAGAAGATTATCAAAAGTAAGTATTTGCTTACCACGGGTCTTGTTTATGCCGCTGACTAGGGCCTCCTCAGACGAAGGCGAGACTCATCAATGTTAGATCAATAGATATGAAGACAGACAGAATTAATACGCCAGATCGCGCCAATTCTTTGTCACGTATAGAGACCGGATTGACTGGCCGGTCGGACCTCCACTCTTGCTTCACCGCTACCGACCTTGGCGCCATTTTGATTCCTTGGAGCACTTATACCTGATGTTTTCTAGCCCTCGAAATGTGATGGAATCTGAACTAGGAAGTGAGAATGTAAGAGCAGTGGTTGGCCCCAAGGTTGATAAATATGCGATGCACGCTAATAATGTCCAAAAGCGAGAGGATGCCATTATTGAAGTGCTGGACTGGACTATGTGCCTTTGCAGCTAACACGAGCTGCATCTTAGCTGAACACACCAAAGGCGTGTATAGGCTCTTCCCAATGTCCCTGAAGTAAAAGACAACCAGGTGTTTGCGCCTGGGTTTCTTTTCCCATTGCCTTTTGAGAGTAGTTTGCAACGAGGGCTGGCATCGTGAAGGACATCAAAATAGATTCTGAGCGCCGTTTTACAACGACAAGAGGGCATCTGTCAATCCACCCAGTGAAGGAAAAAGAAAAAGGTAACCTCAGGCACACAGCGCCGAAGAACGCGAAAGGCATTTCTCACTGATTCATAAGGAGGAGAACTTCGGGGAATGTCGCCCCTGGGGTCACTGACAAGGCCGCCACTGAAACTGGCCTCCAAGTCATATCGTACATGGGCCCATGTTCTCTGTGTTCCTGAATCTCGGAGATGGAGAGAGAATTTAAAAAAATCAAAATGAGAGATGGGAGGTCGTCATCGCTTAGTTGATATGATATTGGGTCACACCACGTCGAGCAGACTTAGCTGTTATTT